TAGGGACCTATTACAGATTTATTATTAGAAAATAATAGTTCACGTTTTATGCATAACGTTTGTGTTTATGAAATTAAATGTTTTTTTTTATTATTTATTTATTTGAGTTGATTGAATGAAAGGTAAATAGCGGTTTACGATTTATGACGTATTAAAAAAAACAACTTACTAGATCTCGTTCAAACCAATTTTTGGAGGACGTTTGCATGGTTAGGTACTTCATATATTTTTTTTAGTTTTATCATTCTCTTATTTTAGAAGTAACAGGGGGGGGGGGGGGCACATTTTACCATTTTGGAAGTTTCTCTCGCGTAAACTATTCAGTTTAGAAAATAATTATATTAGTAACCTCAATATCATTTTTGAAGACCTATCCACAGATAGCCCACACGTAAGGGTTTAATAAAAAAAAATTAGTTTCTAAGTGTGGGGACACCCAAAATTTATTGTTTTTTTTCTAATTTTATGTGAAATTCTTAATGCGGTTCACAAAATACATCCACGTACCAAGTTTCAACAGTATAGTTGTTATAGTTTCGGAAAAAAGTGGCTGTGACATACGGACGGACAGACGGACGGACATGATGAATCTATAAGGGTTTCGTTTTTTGCCATTTGGCTACGGAACCCTAAAAAACATATAAACATACATTGGAAGTTAAATAAATGCTTATAAACACACATAAGGAAGCTTGCTTAGAACACAACTTCAATATATCATGATACTTGCAATTTGATATTTGAAATATATTTAACAAATCTCAGGAAATATATTTAAAGGTTAAAGACAAGTCCAAAAGAGAATGTAATACATACTTCGATCAATAATTCTATAGATAACGGGTTACATACAAAAAAAAAACCTAAAAACTGTCCGCGTATGTTTAAACTTCCAATTTTTGTGTGCAATAAATAGTATAATAATATATTTTTATATGTTATATACATACTTAACCACTTTACTGCTAGTTATTTAAATCTAAAGAAATTTTTACTAGAAAAAAATCCACGTAAACCCTTCGCCGTGGCCGTGTCGAATTTTTTCTAGCCTTTCTTATGCTGTAAGGAAGAGAAGATAATAATGAAAGGTGTCGTTGAATTTAGGCAATTAGACCGCAACACTAACATAATACTTTTTTATTAAAAACATGTGCTAATCTGTGTATATTTAATTGTTATAAATAAACATTTAGATTAGTACTTTGTTATGATATGTGTATTTTATGTTCTAATTACTATATTTACTAAAGCCGCATTCGTGTATATCTGTTTCCTAAAGGTTGACTGGCAGATAATGCTTTTAGCGTTAAGTCCGCCTTTTGTAATTTTTTTTGCAAGTCAAGTTTAAATAAATAAAATATGAAATTTAATTAAAACCGATATTTTCGTGATTGTGTGTCCACATCAGAGCTTTTCTATTTTTTCATATTCAGGTAAACAAATCCCCTAAAGAAAAGAATACTCTTTTCAGAAATGCGTCCCACAATGGCAATAATTAATAATAAGTCTTTAGCTGTGAAATTGCCGTTCTAACTTCTAATTATTTTTATTTTGAAAATATGGAATTATTTTTTGAAAATTACCTTGTCATTGGTTTAATGAGGAGCGTTCTATTTTCAGCGCATTTGTACTTTTTCGATATCATGGATACGTTAAAAATTCGAATGATTATGGAGTATGAGTACCGTCATGGCAGCAAAGCGGCAGAAGCGGCACGCAACATCAACGACGTATACGGAGCGAACACTACTAACGATCGCACCACCCGTTTGGTTGGTTTGCTCGCTTCCGTTCCGGAAAATTCGGCGTAAGAAATGAACCCCGCAGTCGATCGATTTTTTTTGTCCACAATGTCGAATTGTCGAAAAAAAATTATAATCTAGAGGCAGTTCAAAATGCCTTTGAAGAATTTGTTGCCTCCCGTCCAGCAGACTTTGCAAAAAGGGCATGAATAGCTACCACTACGTTGGCAAAAATGCATTGTTTGCAAGGGTAATTACAATGATTAATGAAAATAAAAAAATAAAAAGGGCATTTACCTATGTCAATAAAAACGTCAATTTCATAGGTAAAGACCAATATGAATAACACTCTTAATTTCGCCGACACCAAACAAATAAAATTTATCCAGGGATTGGAAAATCAACCCAAATTTAAAAATCGGTGCGTCTAGTCTGTAACTATCTTCGTACTTTATTTCAGTAGGTGAGACTCAGATATTTTCAACACGACTGTCCAAAAAATTGTGTATTGTTTTCAGGGTTCATTCTTTATTCCACCATAACTTCTAAACGCCTGAGTCTATTAAGGTGTCTGTGGTATCGTTATAATCCTTTCACCATCCCGGGGGAAGTAGGATATCTAAACTGTTAAAATTGAAATATCAAAAATGGGCAAAAGAAGTGTAAATTATTTATATCAAACAAAAAACAAGTCTTCTTATTGTTACAATATGATATATGTGATCATTTCAGATTCTCAGATATAATTATGAATATAGTAGAATTACTAAACGAGTTTACCCCAAAAACGTGACAAAACTAGTAAATTCATTGATTATTTCAAGCACATATTAAATTTACAAGGCATTAAAATACAAGGAATAAATTCGACTGCTGTTAATAAAATTAAACTAAAAAGTAAAAAAAATAGTAAATTTTTACTATCAAAAAATCCGTCTAACTAAAATTTAAGTTTAAATAAAAGTAAAAGAAAGAAAATAAGTCCAATAATCTATAATTCTGTTAATTTAGAGACTTATTCTTGTCTCAATATTTATTGTCTTTTAACCGTTTATTATTGCAATTTGTTCAGAAAATACTAAATCAATTCTATTTTTATATTATGTTAGCATTTAACCACTAAAAATTCGATTGTTAAATGGATTGGATAATTCAATGCTTTTGTGAACGTAACCCACTCGTCTGTGGCAAAATGTCACGAATGCATAATTGTATCTATCCATATGTATCAGATTATACTTAAATGTCTAATAACTCATATAGATTTTTAACCTTAACAAGACGACATAAAGTAAAATTTATATTTAGCAAATTTTGAACATAGTTTGTAAAACGATATTAAACTTTATATCACTAGCAGATATGTCTGTCTTGTCATATTATATTTCACTCTCATTCTAAGACAAAAATGAGTCTGATTTCTAGGGTTCCGTGACCGAAGGGTGACATGAATCTATATAACTAAGTCTCAGCTGTCTGTCTTTCAGCTGATTATATTATAATGAACCGTAGGTAATATAAAGACAGCCTTTTTATAGCATTATGTAGCATGCATATTTATATAGCCGCTAAAACGTGATTTATTCCTATGCTTTCCGCACCATCTAGTGTTTAATCATGTACAATTTTATTATGCACTTGGTCTGTTTAGATTAGAAGGATTTTTATTACATACAGAAGAACAGAACAAATATACAGGCACTATAAAAATATGTGATGGAAAATATAAAAATGATAGTATTTGCGGTACAATTTAACAGTTTATCGATATCAAATTATAATTATTAATTCAAAGTGTAACACAATCAGTACAGTGAGCTCCGCGTTAATCTATTCTTGTGTTTATGTTTGTATTTTTATTTTAACGACCACGTAAAAGTCACATAAATAATGAATAAGCAAATTTTGCGAACACTCTTACCAATTAGCATAGCCCTAAAGTAAGCACGTAAGACTGTACTATGGGATGCTTTCGTAACGGATAGAATACAGACTTTGATCAATATATAAGTAAGTATATTTATATAAAGAAATATATAAATTTCCATGACTAGGTACAAATGCTCGTATTCGTCATACTAACATTTGATCCACCGAAATTCGAACAAGAGGCCCCGATACCTTCAAAACCTTGTACACACCACTCGCGCCACGCAGGAAGGGCGTCGGATTAGCGATTTTGATATATTTTTGCGCAATCTTGAGACAACACAGACATCCTTATATAATATTAATACAAATTAAGGAAGGTGCATTAATATAATGTTGTTTTGTCAATTCAAGAGAAGTTATTTAAGTTGGTAGTGCGTTATCAACATTCCTTTTATATCGAGGAGCTAACAACTTCTTTGTTAACACTGTTACAGTTTATGATAGATCTGCAAATATGTTTATATAAGCATCATCATTATAATTAATTAGATGGAAGATATGAACTGGACCGTAAATGTCGCCTTATCGATCCAGTAATCATTCTAATGACAGACAACTTCTTATTTAGTTCAACGAACCGTTTAATTCTACCTTCTTGCCAAGGTATTGCATTAAGATAAATTATAGCATTAAACTACTTACAGTTATTACCTGCATTGCTGGTTAATAGCGATAATTTAATAGGTGTGACAACATTAAGTCCTCTTTAACAATCACTAAAGCACTTTTTATACAGCAGCGGTGTGTAAGTTTTCGATTATTAAATAAATATAATTACTTAAATCTGTACCTACTAATAATATAAAGCTGAAGAGTTTGTTTGCTTCATTGTTTGTATGATTGAACATGGTAATCTCAAGAAACTACTGGTCCGATTTGAAAAAATATTTTAGTGTTAGATAATTCATTTATCGAGGAAATCCATAGGCCATATAACTTCACGCTACGACCAATGGGAGCGGAGAATACTGGAAATTAATATCCCATTTGAGAGCTTTCGTTCGATGCGCTACGTAAACGATTAAAATTTAAGTTAACTCATGCACAGCGGAATTATTTTCCTTTATGATTTCTATAAAAACGTCGGCGACACCATATGTGCATCTAATACAGCTTGACCCACTATAAACATTTTCCTCAAATTAACGCGGGTGAAACCGCAGAGGACCTCTAGTATAAAATAAACATAACCCTAACTGTTTTTCTTTACCAATTTGCTCCTCAGGGAATCGAACCCTGTTAACGGGAAAAGGTGAAAAATAATAAAATACCTATTATATATATTGTATATTTGTACCTACAAATAATGGAAATTTGAATACTTACAGTGTTCAAATCTGGACGTTTGACTTCCTTTATCCTATAGAACCCGTAGAAGAAACTCAAAATGTATAACGATGCACTTATTGAGAACACACCGTAAAGGCCAATTTTGCGCACTAATATCCCACTCAATGCCGCACCGACAGGCACTCCCAATGAATAGAAAAGATTCACAACACCAATTCTCAATGTTCTCTGTTCTTCCGTCGTAACATCGGCGATGTAACTGAACACTCCTATGAACATTGTGAACCAACCACCGGTCAAAGCAGGAAATATGGCTTCAGTTACCGCGGCTACTTCAATAGGCAATTCGTGGAAAAAATATGTGTTCACAATTAACCCGATACTGGTCAGAAACTCTCCAATTATCGGTAGCAGCATGCAAAATTTCCTCTGACCAATCCTGTCACTGTAGGCCCCCAAAAATATTAATATCCCGCAAGGCAAGAAAGATTGCAACACTGTTTTCCAACCAGCAACTGAAGCTACTAATGTCTGCACCGCTTCCTCTTCATAAGTGTAATTTGTTGTTTCCCTTCTTGTTAATGCATCACACACGTGATGATCGAAGGCTAAATTAACACGACAAGCTTTTTCTAAATATAGATTTTGCGTAGCCAAAGCTGATAGGACGGAAGGCATCACGTAACATGCTAATATTGGTTCCACAGTGATCAACGACATCATCCGTCTCGTTTTTTGGAAAATATTCATCTCTTTCCAATTGCTATCCTCCATTTCCTTAATTTTTTGCTCTTTGTCACTACCAAAGCCATGTTTAATTAAATTCGTATTATTTAAGTCATTGCCATTGAGCTTCTTTTCGGCTGCTCTATTGGTACCATCTAGGATTTTCACGTCAGCCGTCATCGTACCTGAAACAAAGAAGATATGATATTCAATATTCTAAAGATTTTTTCAATATTATTTAACATATTGGAGCAAAATTTTCGTCAAGCCCTAATCTGATATTTATAAAAACTTGTTACATTTAAACTTTTTAAAAATAAACAATTGATGATGAACCACATTTGCTTTCACCATTATGTTTCTTTTCTCTACTACTGTATAAAAAGTTTGGTGGAAATATGATTAGTATTTCGAAAATGGATGCGGTTTGTAGTGAATGCCTACGAGTCCACACAAAACTATAAGTAGAAACATTTACTAACGGTATCCTTTTTAATTAATTTTATTTGTCATTTCAAGTGGAATCGTAAATATACAGGAAGTGAATCTTAAGTGGTGTAACAATCCCGGGGAACTTAAAAATGTGTGTGACAAACTAGGGGATAAGTGTTAAGTAATATTTATAATAAAATTAACGATATTTATGTTAAAATTTTATTAATAAGGTGATATTAAAAAAATACAGCTAGGACTCAGTATTTCTGCAAGTGCATATTTGTAGACTTCTCATTTCGCTGAATGGGCTCTGTAACTTTGATTGGTAAATACAAAGCGGACGTTGTAATCATTTGATGATTACCTACGTACTTAGCGTAATCGTCGCTGACGTTTAAATGGAATTAACTTTACCCAGCTATTTTCAGTACAACGAAGACAAAGACGAAATGTTCACAAAAACATCTCGACTTGAGAAAAAAGTAAATACCAGTTCACTCGTTTTTAGTAACAACAGTCAACCAAATAGCGGGAAAAAATAAAATAAGTACTGTGGAAAATTCTGATCTGTTTTTTTATGAAAAGATGAGAATTTAGGTTTTTTCCATTTTCGCATCTCAAAATGATTTTCTACTTCACGTTAACTTCCGTATATTGTTCTATAATTTTGAGTGCCTACTTCAACTTACAATTGATGTTCATAAATATTGTTTTTATTTATCAAAATCTCATTATTTTAAGAAAAAGGTTAATTTTTTATCGTAAAAGAATCAAAATAGTATCTGTAACTTGGAACAAATCTATAAGTTATCTAAATAATAAATGAGCAAGTGCCTTCGAACCTTAGAACAATTTTATTTTTCGTACAGTCTCTTTAAGCAGGTATTTTATTGCTCGTGCAATTTCAGACTATGAAAATCACACTGATCTTACCTTGCTATCGACCAATAGTAGTAGTAATACACTTTTGGATAATTTTTTGTTAATTTTGGAGAACTAAAAATCAGTACATATTTAACAATGACATTTCGGACTCGCAAACGATACGAATTCGATATTGGTTCGTGCTAAGGGTACTACTCAGTATTCTGCTGCACCACCTATCTTCGCAACTAGGCTCTACTTTTAATTAATATCTGGAAGGGTGGGTGTTACATTCTGCGCTAATTGTATAAAAAGTGGCGATTTGTTCACATTACACTCATTAAAATAATTACTATGCAAGTAAGTAACACTCTTTTAACTAAGATATAACACGAACAAGCTGTTAGTAGTGAAATTATAATATTATTATATACCTTGTTACTTTATTTAACTTCACACAATTCCATTAATGAAGAGTAGGTGTCACGTTTTATCAATAATAATAAAATAGTATGGCATGTATGAACATATTTCATTAGTAACCTATGCTGTGTGTTATAGATACTTATTTCAACATTTTCTTTCCGTTCTTTCACTCTTTCTTACTTTTGATCAATCCCTCTCAATCTATCCTCTCCTCATTATAACTGAATACCTAGTTTTCGTGTGGCATACTGATGGTATACTGTGCCACCAATTTGTTTATTTGCCTTTTTTTATAATAATGCAGATAATAATATTAATATAATGATATTCTTGTTAAAAGGAAACCCTTCCAACACTTAACTAAATGATATCTAAGTTTATTATTAACATTTATTTATGAAGTTTTTAATGGAACAAAGAGTCCAAAAACTACAGAGATGATTTGTCAAACTCATCATGTAGTATTGTTCCAGTTTTTTGCTGTTTATTGTTGCGAATAACTGACAAAGTTTCACACTAATTGTAGGTACATATTAAGCGAACACGTACACGGCAACATACATTGAAATTGAACGAAATAAAAAAAACGGTTTAAAATGACAATGACTCGCCATGAATTAACTTAGTGATTCCGGTCTGCTGACTGGTAGACATGCGACAAATGATGCCACCAAGTTTATCATACATGCATATATATTTGTACACAATACACCTGATGCTAAAAACTGTAACTTTGTCGTCAATCTGACTTTGTACTCAGTGATTGATTACAAAGGCCGGCACCATGACTTTGAATATTTGTTGTAGTGGGGTTCCTTCTATCTAGCGGAATCTTGTTTATCGGAAATTAATTTGGCAAAACACGGCATAATTTTCTTTAAACGAATATCCTTTTTTAAATCCGGCACATCTTTTTTGTTTACATGTTCTAAATCTCAATGGCATGGTACCTTTGGTGTTTGTGGTCGCTAGGTTAGGTTAGGGTTGTGACCAAAACTTAGTTAGTCACCATAGATAAATAAAATGACAAGGAAAAGTAATTTATTTGTATGCCAAAAGATGATCCTGACTTTATTTTCTGCTTCATTCATTGCTCTGCTTTTATTTATTGCGGATATTAAATAAATGCCTTAAAACCATTAAAATCTAAGAAATATTCAGTTGGTATGGCACCGACTCCAAATGTTAATTTGACTTTAAATGTAAATAACATGCATTATTTCTTACTTTTTAGTGGTTTGGTTTTTATGGTGTCGATTTTTTTGTTTTTTAGTTTTTATTTTTCACTTTTTATAAGTCAGAATAACATCAACTTACTAAATAAAGATGTCTGACATGCGACCACTCTTCTATTTCGTAAAATAACCAAACAAGATATGTCAACTGTTCGTATTTGAGGAGTTCCGTTGTTTATCTCCGAAAGTGTTTATCAGATCTTCACCAAATTTATATCGGTCCAATCGATAATCATCTCGCTAATATTTTTTTCTGAATAAAAAAGAATCATCAAAGTCGGTCAACAAAACTCGGAGATATGCGCGAACAACAATTTTAAAAAATATGCTTTTGGAAGTCGGTTAAAAATGATAATGGCTTACAAAATTATGAGTTTTGTATGTCTGATAAATGATCGGATAATAGAACCAATAGCTACTAAATAAGCTATTCCAAAAATATTTTAACAATTTAGATTATATAGAATGATGTTCTATAAGTATACATAATTATACATAATATTCTAGTGCTTTTGTTTATTAATTCAATCTAATTTATTTGTATAAAGTAACTAGTACGAAATCCCAACTACCAACCTAAACTTCTGCAACGGTAAGAACTGAAGGTCACTTTTCCTACTTTTTCGCAGGTTTATCGCATAAGAAACATCAATTTTATGACTTCCTAGTACTTACAGATAAAATTCAAATAAAATTTTGCAATTATGCTTTTGTATCAATTCCTTTATTGTCGCAAAGAGATTTTTCTGAAGTTTCAAATAGATTTTATACAAATTCAAACCATACGCATGGTTAGGTTATTTAATAACTACTATAGGTAAATTTGATAACGATACGTGTAATTGTGTACGTGCGGCTCAAAGTTCGAAATCGTAATAGAACCTTATGAATGTCATTTGGTATGTACTTACGTAAAATGTATTATAATATAATATAGCTTACAGCTTAGTTTAATACTAGATAAATTACACAGCCACAGCTTAAAAATCCTGCAGTAGTAACACTGAAAGATCAAAATCAGTAGCATCCTGTACCGGTCTAGGTGTAAACCTGAATTCCGAATTCGGGCGCCTCCGTCCTCGGAATAACGAAATACAACTTATTTTTGCAGTCTTTTGCCAAAAAAAGAACGGCTTAATATTATTACTTAAGGTTTCCTTTTGATAACTACATTAGCACAGTGTTAATGACGAAAAAACGCAACTAACATTATTTTTAGAAGTAGTTTTACGGAGTGTCAGGTGTGAGGTTTAACACTCGATCGCGACTTAATAAACTATTATTTCTGATGTAACTATGTTTGCGCGTGTATGTGCGTTTAGAAATTTTGAGCGTGTAGAGTTAGAAACTGGGCTCTACATGAGATCTATATGATATGAGATAACTATTTGACAGTACGAATCGTATGGTCTCGTCTTGGCAAAATTTTACATGAAAATGTTAGGTACCCATATCTAAAGGACTGTCTGTAAAGTTTTTTCCACCAAAATAGCCTTGGCTATATTTAGTTGTAAAGGTTATTCTGACTACTCTAACCGACGTGACGTGAGTGTCATATTAACAGAAAGATCTTCACTATCAGCTAACAGTTGCAATCAAATATATGTAACTTAGCTTTAGTGATCATAATCAAGCGAGTCGATGTCGTACACTAAGGGTTCCGTACATTAGACGATTGCTCAGAAGCCATTGTCGACATTTAAAGTTTCATTTAGCGATGCTGAACAATAACGCTGCCTTTAATCTTTCGATTTATTTTATTTCTTACATTGGTAACAACAAATCGTTGCCTGTTGATGTCACTATTATGTCAATGACAACAAGAAAAGTACGCTCAGTAGCAACAAATACTTTTCATTACTTTTTTTCTGTTCTGTAGTTTATGGTTTAGATGAAAGCCTGTGACAGATGGTCAGACGAATAGACGGACAGATGAGATTTAGATCATTGGTTGGGTTCCGTTGTCACATTTGGCACGGAATCCTAAAAAGAGGCAAAATCCGTTCACTTTTATATTCTTCGTGAATACGAACGAACGACCTTGTCACAGATATCTGCTTTATGTGAGACAAAGTACTTTTATATATAGACAATAATTACATTGGGAATATAATTGCTTTATACACTTGGAACAGAAAAGCAAGAATCTTCGCCTACTATAAATAATAAAGTACTGCCATACTTTATTAAATACAGGTATTAACGTCTCCACAACGAGGGCATTG